AGGAGATCCACCTGCCTCGACCTCCCAAAGTGTTGGGATTATAGGCATGAGCCACCTTACCTGGCCAAGAGTGTAATTCTTTTCAATTACTTGTTTTAATGATACAATGAAATGCTTCAAAGTAACATGATTTATAGCATTTGGACAAAAGATTATCTTCAAAATTTGTCATTAAACATAGGTTCTATCTGTCCTATAAAAAATAACATTTCACATTATCTTTAAAACTTGTCATAAAACATAGGTTCTACCTGTCTTATAACATTTCGCATTTGCCTGGTAACAAAGGATAGGATTTATGTGCTTAATAGTTTGTCATTAATGAAATAAGGCAACTAACCCTTAGATGATCAGTAACCTGATTTTAAGATCACGTGTTTAAAATTTGCTCTAGTTTGAAAAAAATAAGTTGTTTTGAGTGAGAATATTTTAGTCATGTGAACAGAATCTAACACACATGACTTTGATGCAGAAAAACTTATTTCAAACATATAATACCAGTGAAAAGTAAAATATGATAAACAATATATAGAAAAAAATTTTCTGAACTTATGTTAGTCAAAGTTATTTTCTATGAAAAAAACTTAGAATGTAGAGGTTAGCAACACATCCTGGAAATGAACTGCCTTGATTTAAATGCTGGCTCTGGTGCTGGCTCTTTCGGTGGCATTGGGCAAGTTATTTGATGTTGTTATGTCTCCATTTTATCTTCAGAATAATAATAGCATAGTTTAATTTATTGCACAATTATGAATATTGATTGAGCCAAGGTGTGTTCTGTACAGATAATAGCATCTGGCACAGAGAAGGTGCAACACGAGGGTAATGACATTGTTAGTATAACTATTATCATCAACACGAGGGTAATGGTATTGTTAGTATCACTATTATCAACACGAGGGTAATGGCATTGTTAGTATAACTATTATCAACACGAGGGTAATGGCATTGTTAGTATAACTATTATCATCAACAGGAGGGTAATGGCATTGTTAGTATCACTATTATCAACACGAGGGTAATGGTATTGTTAGTATAACTATTATCATGTCTTGCACATTGACACAAAATAAATTTCCCTCTCCAAACCAGAGCTATTAACAAAGGTTTTAAAATCATATTCCATACTCTTTCCATGTCTTAAATAGTAAATCCTCATTTTAAAGTGGCTTACCACTCAATTTATTCAACAAATAGCTAAAGAGAGTTGACTCTGCCCAGGATGTATAATCACAGTTAAAACCACAAACTTTTGTATTAAAAAATCCACCCAGAAACTTGTATGAAAAGCAAAGTATTGGTTTTATCCCACAAATTTTTATTTAGTATATTTGCCTTGAGACTTGAAATTTTGCATATTTAATAAGCACCCTAGTTTATTTGATGAGAAAAATCTTAATTTCAAGATTGAGAAGTTCTGTATAATAGAAAAACAGTATTAATCGAAAGCTTTTAGAAATCGGTTACTCAACTTGTAGTCTTCGGCATATATTTTTTATGATCATTTCATGTTAAAATCTCCCACCGTTGTATTTATATAAGCAGTGTGGAAGATGTACAGTGGATTGAATTTAATTTAGGAGGATATTACTCCTACCACACCGTGCTCACCTTGTCTCATTTAAAACTACTGTATATTTTTTCTCAACAATCAGAACACAGATTTCGCTGCCAAATGGACAATCTCACAAAAGTGACAGAATTCCTGCTGATGGAGTTTTCCGGCACCTGGGAGCTGCAGGTGCTGCACGCCGGGCTCTTTCTGCTGATTTATCTGGCAGCGCTGGTGGGAAACCTGCTCATCATTGCGGTCATCACTCTCGATCAGCATCTTCACACTCCCATGTACTTCTTCCTGAAGAACCTCTCCGTTTTGGATCTGTGCTACATCTCAGTCACTGTGCCTAAATCCATCCATAACTCCCTGACTCGCAGAAGCTCCATCTCTTATCTTGGCTGTGTGGCTCAAGTCTATTTTTTTTCTGCCTTTGCATCTGCTGAGCTGGCCTTCCTCACTGTCATGTCCTACGACCGCTATATTGCCATTTGCCACCCCCTCCAATATGCAGCTGTGATGACATCCGGAAGGTGCTATCACATGGCAGTCACCACCTGGCTAAGCTGTTTCTCCTACGCGGCCGTCCACACTGGCAACATGTTTTGGGAGCAGGTTTCCAGATCCAACGTGATCCACCAGTTCTTCTGTGACATCCCTCACGTGTTGGCCCTGGTTTCCTGTGAGGTTTTCTTTGTGGAGTTTTTGACCCTGGCCCTGAGCTCATGTTTGGTTCTGGGATGCTTTATTCTCATGACGATGTCCTATTTCCAAATCTTCTCAACGGTGCTGAGAATCCCTTCAGGACACAGTCGAGCAAAAGCCTTCTCCACCTGCTCCCCCCAGCTGATTGTCGTCATGCTCTTTCTCACCACAGGGCTCTTTGCTGCCTTAGGACCAACAGCAAAAACTCTGTCCGTTCAGGATTTGGTGATCGCTGTGACATACACAGTTTTGCCTCCCTTCCTCAATCCCATCATATATAGTCTTAGGAATAAGGAGATTAAAATAGCCTTGTGGAGACTGTTTGTGAAGATACATTTTCCACAAAAGTAGAACGTCCTGGTCTTTGCCGTAGATCTGCAAGAAAAACCAAAAAAGCATAAATACTTTATGACAAAAGATGAAAACACTGTTGATTAAATGAAAAACACTGAAAAAACTGTTGAATGGGAGAAAGACTATTTGCACTACTGTATGTAGCTAGAAATGCAAATGTTTCTTCAAAAAGTAAAAGTACATTCATAAAATATTTCAAGGTTGTGTAACTGCAGCTTGTTCTGGTGATCTATTCCTTCCCGTCCCACACGTCTTCCAACTGCTTTAAATAACTTACCCTGAACCTGTAGCCTAACATTCCTGTTACTATGAATTTTTTGGAAGAGGACACACACACACACACACACACACAGTTTTAGTACTGGATTTAGCTAGCCAACAACAACAAAAAAACAAAAAACAAGCAGAAGGGTTATTAGAACAGGAATACATGTTTTAGATTTTGCAAATATTTCAAGGATGTATCTCTGTCACTTAGCTATTTTTAGAAATCTGTCAGGAAATTAAGCCAATTTCCCTCAATGCATCTACTGAAATTGTCACTTTTTCTTTTTCAACCTGTTAACAATAACTATTACAACAATAAAAACCAATATGTTTCTAGCATTGGCTTTATGTAAGACACTGGTCTAAAGATTTTATTATCTATATCCATATTTATGTCAACTCAATCTTCACAATGACACTACAATGTTGGTTTTATTTCATCTAGATTTCACAGATAATGAACCAATTAGGAGTCAGGAACATGCCCAAGTCCTCACAGCTAAAATGATCAAAAACAAGAATCAGTCTCAGGCAGTTTGGTCAGAGAACAGACAGTGTTTTCCACAACTCGACACCACCTTCCTATGTGGAATAAATACAAACTGATGTTTTCATATTAAACTATATTTCTGTAATATACCTATTTTTAAATGTTACTGTCATATGCTATCAGATTCCAGATTCTTGTTGCCAGCATCATTTTTAGAATAATTACATTTATTACATAAAGAGGGTATCAAAGGGTATTTTTTTGTCATTATTTTTTATTTTAAATGTTATTTCACACTCATACAAGCATCCTTTAATCCTCTAAAATCATTTAGGTAATCATCTTTTCCTAAAATGTTTGACAGGTAACAGTTTGACTCACTTGGGCACGGAAGCTAATTTGGAAGATAATGAAATTTTACATTTCCTTAGTGATATTTGGTATACTCAATTTTTACAAAGTTTAAATTTAGAAAATTGGTAAGTTAATAGAAAATGCTCCATTTTATTCTGGATTTTTGAATGTGTAGAATTTGAAGTTATATTTATAGTTTCACTTCTATTTAAAATTGAGTTATAATTCATTGATCAGATTTTCTAAAATGACTTATTTCATGTTTATTTTTACATAAAAATTTAAACAAGTGTTTTTTAAATGTATTTACTCTTTTTGAAATTTAGGTATAATTGACAAATAAGGATTGGATATATTTGTATATATTTGTGGTATACAACGTTAATGTTTTGATAGATGTGTTCATTGAAAAGTGATTAAATCAAAGTGTCAAGAGCTGTGGGAGGTCCCCAGTTGACTGAGGTCCTCAGAGTCCCTCTAGGTCCCCGGACAGGGAGCTGGCACAGGCGGTGGCTGAGGCTGGGGCTGGCGAGGTGCACAGCTTGGGTGCAGGGCTGGCTGCAGGAATATGCACTGCAGCAGGGGTTAACTATGAGTAAGCACATGGTGGTGACGGGCAGGGGCAGGGCCAAGGGCAAGAGCTGCAGCAGAGTAAAAATACATGCATAGGGGTGGAGTTGGTTTGTGCAAGCACAGGGCTATAAAAATCAGGGGCAGTGACACGCACATGTGTGAGGCTGCTGGTGCCAGATGAGGGACTGCAACAGGCTGTCGTGTGTGTGTATACAGCTATGGTGCCAAAGCTGGCAGCATGTATATTTGTGACTGTGGGGGCCAGCTGCAGGTGCAAGCATGGTGCTAGGGACAGGCACATGCGGGTCATAGTTGGGTGTGCGAATGTTTCTGCGATGAAACTGACAGCAGGCGTGTGTGCAGCTGCAGGGGCTGTAGGCAACACACATGCTGGCGGGGCCAGCTATGGAACTCAGGTGGCTGTATGCATGCTCACAGCTGCTTGGCCTGGAGTTGTAGCATGCATTCATGGCTGCAGGGGCAAGCATGGCAGTGGGTGCTGGGTGCTGGAACCTGGAGCCAGCTGCTGTGTATATGCAGCTGAGGGGACTGGGTCTGGAAGCCCGCATGAGCCAGGCTACAGTGGGTATCCAAGGGAAAGCACTCGGCAGTGAGGGTCAGGACCAGGAGGTAGCCAAGGGTGAGAGCTCAGCAGTGGGGACAGGGGCTGGCAGAAAGGGCCCGGGTCGTTTGTGGGCACATTCACAGCACTGGTCCCTGGGCTGGGGTGCTGGTGGCAGCTGCAGCTGAGGTGGCTCTAAGGAGGGAGTGTTTGGGGGGGGCATGCCTCAAGGCCCTGGAGACTGTGCAGGAAAAGCCTGCGAGGCCCTCAGTGCGGAGATTTATAGGAATTCCACTGGGCTCTGCTGGCGATTGGCTTCCTTGGTGACAAAATCTGCTGGAGATGAAGCAGCTCATGTCTGCAATGGCTAAACCCAGAGGAATCCTCAGCCGTGAACGCTGAGGGGGTGCAGTGCCTGGAAAGGCTGTTAAAGTTCCCAGGGGAGAGGGCTGTGGGCGTCCTGTGCAGCAAAACCAGCGGGAACTGAGGGGGCTCCTGCAGTGTGAGGAGCCCCCATCCCTCGTCTTTCTTCCCGGGTGTTTCCTGCTGTTTCGGCTATTCTGGTCTCCTTCGTAATTTGTGTGGCGGGCGGGGAGGGGGGGCGGTAAAACTGAAGTTTTGGGCAGTGCCCAGGAGGCCAGACCCGGGGAATGGTTGTTCCTCCTACTCTCCTTTTCCTTGCAAGGGAAACCTGCGATCTGGGGGGTTTCCTCTGCAGTAAGGAGTCCTGGCCTGGAGGATGGGTCGATGCGAAATGAAGTTGTGCTGCCTTTTCTTGTGCAGTTTTTCTGTTATTTTCCTCCACTGTATTGCTGTAGCCTCTTACATGGACTCCCGAGCTTTTCCAGAGCTATTTTCATTTGTGGATACTTGTGCAGTTGTTCTTCTGGGGGGGAACTGAAGCTGGAATCTCCTCTGCTGTCCTGCTTCCTGCAGTAGGAATTAAAAATGTTTATATAATGAAATTTATGCTTTTTGTGTACATTTGAGTTGTGACACATGCATGGGGTCACGAAACAATGATCACTACGTGGGTTCAGAACAAGGTTTAATCCCCCAAATTCTCTTCCGCTCCAGCTCTCCCTTCACTCCAGCCTCTGGCAGACACTTACCTGTCGCCTCTCCCTGCAGTCTGCCTTTCACAAAACGGGAGCTAAATTGAGTCACAAAATATGAGTAACATTTTGAGTCTGGTGGTCTTTCTTAGCAAAGTGTATGTAAGACTCATCAAGGTTGATTTATATATAAAGCGTTCCTTTTTATTGCTGAAGTTTTCCATTTTATAGATTATCACTGCTTTCATTCACCAGTTGTTTCCAATTTTCGGTCATTATAAACATGGCTAGTACAAACATTCAGGTATAGGTTTTCGTATGAACATAACTTTTCATTTCTCATGGGCAATGTAAGCTAAAAATAAAATCCTAGGCCCCCTGCCAACTGAACAGACCACGCTGCTTTGGTCAAGGGGACCCCAGAAAAAAAAATTAAAAACTGAGTTCCTCGACGTGACTGACAGGAGGTCAGACACACTTCCCTTTAGCAGTTTACACACAACAATGGCTGGCTTTAATGCCAATATAGAGATAATATAAGATTCGTAGACTTTTTTTTTTTTTTGACGCCAAATCATTTGAGATGGTGTCTTGCTCTGTTGTCCAGGCTGGAGTGCAGTGGTGCAATCTTGGCTCACTGCAATCTCCACCTCCCAGGTTTAAGCCATTCTCGTACCTCACCCTCCAGAGTAGCTGGGACTACAGGCACGTGCCACGACGCCAGGCTGATTTTTGTACTTTTAGTAGAGATGAGTTTTCCACCTTGTTGGCCAGGCTGGTCTTGAACTTCTGGCCTCAAGTGATCCACCTACCTTGGCCTCCCAAAGTGCTGGGATTACAGGCATGCACCACTGCGCCCCATTTCCTTTATGGCAACAAAATACCAAGTTATAAACAAGACCTAAGGCCATGCCAGGCAAGGGTTAAGTCATGCACTGTCTGCCACCGGGTTTCCCTTTTTCTCTAACAGCTAAACTAGTACTGCCCTGGAGAGAAGCCATTTGAAAACAACTGTAGCTTACCACTCCACACCGACTCCTTGTTCCACCAGCCATAACTACAGCTTTCACTGAAGAGACTGATTTCGGTAACTCTCTTCTGATAAGACCACCACTGAGCATGGACTGCTTCTGGCTGGTTTACAGAGGCTGTGCACTTGCCTGCCTTCCTGTCACGAAAAGACCTTTTGACCTACGGGACCTAATTGCAACACATTTGAATGTGAAGTCTCTACTCCAAAGTGAACGTGGGTTACATGTTCCATATCCATGTGTCAGGACCTGTTACATGTGTCTGTCTAGCTAACCTATTTGGCATAAAGCTCCTACTATATACTTACTATATATAGTATAGAATATGGAATATATTATAGATTCTATATATACTGTAGAATCATGCCATATATAGCTCTATATGTGCCTAAATAAAATTGTGTACAGTCTCATGTCTTTACTTTTAGAAATATTACTTTTTGGATATAAATTTTTCATATTTTGCCTTTGAAACTGGATTTATATAACATTGTTCTCTTATTTTAAATGTAGGCTTATTAAAATTTTTGATCATCTAAAACACTGAGATGAATATCTATGTAAAGAATTGCTAGATTCTCTTTGTGATTGTTTATTTAAAGTGTTCATTTCTAATTTACATATCCAAGTTGCTTCCTCTCAACAATCTATCATGACAGAGGGCAGAACCTGGTGACGTCTTTTTACTTTATTCACAACAGTACTGATGATCATTTTTTCTTTCTGTAATTCAGCAGTAAGAGTGAGACCTTATTGTAGATATTGTAGATATAGTTTACATTTTTACCGTTAATGTTTTGTATTTGTGTTCTCTGCAAATTTTTTAGTAAAATATGTAATTAAATGTCTATCTTATGATATTAATATCTAAGTGATTGCTATACGTTACTCATCTTTATCTTTTGCTTTGTCGTAGATCAAAACAAATTTTCCAAGTAAAATAATAATCTTTTTTATTCCCAAATATATACGTATATATATATATTTTTTTCTCCTTTCAAATCCTATTTTCCAAGGTATTTGTTTTTTCAGCTTTCATTTTAGATTCAGGGGGTCCGCGTGCAGGTTTGTTACCTGGGTATAGTGTGACGCTGACGTTTCAGTTATGGATGACCCCATCGTGCAGGTATAGTGTGGTGCTGACGTTACCTGGGTATAGTGATGCTGATGTTACCTGGGTACAGTGTGATGCTGACGTTTCAGTTATGGATGACCCCATCGTGCAGGTATAGTGTGGTGCTGACGTTACCTGGGTATAGTGATGCTGATGTTACCTGGGTATATGGATGACCCCATCGTGCAGGTACCGAGCACAGCACCCAGTAGGTAACTTTCTAACCCTCATCTCCCCTGACTCCTTCCCCATCTAGCAGTCCCCGGTTTCAATTGTTGACATCTTTATATTCGTGAATACATGGTAGTTTGTTTGTTGTCTTTCTTTATACATTAGACAAATCTTTACCCATGCATTTTACAATTGTTTGAGTTTCATTTTCTACAGCTTTAATCAATTTTTATATTTAAAAAACAGTACATAAAATGTATTCCTAATGTGTTATTAAATTTTCAGAATATTTTAAGTAATTTTTTCTCAATCACTGAATTACAGTGGCAATTTTGTTGCTTGTATTTTCAAAGAGTTCTGTTAAAATCATGGCAGGGAACTATGCCTTCCTTTCCATTGCCATGTTATGTCCAAAATGAACCAATCATTTTGGAGAGAGGTGGGAAAACACCTATTGCCCATCTCTCTTATATTTTCATCAGTTTATGACACTAGAAAACTTCAGTAGTTTCATTAAGTAGTACTTAATAAATATATTAATACGTAGATTTTAGTTTGAAATAGACCATAGTTCCATTAAAGTTGGCTAGCCCTGTTTCTAATTAACACACACTAAATGCCCACATGTGTAGAATAATTAAATAGTAGGGTTTATGTTAAAACACTATGTAAATAAATATTCCACTACCTCTTTATGCTTCTTAATATGAAGAATTTTTAAAATTCACTTTTATGAAACAATAAATAAAATAATGTGTAGTAAAATTTCATTAACAAAGAAGCCATAATGGGTTTGTGTGTTTCTCTTTTTATTTCTTCACAAAACCCATTCTTAGTTCATTTTCTATAAAGAAAACTTATTCCTTACAATTATGGAGGCTGAGAAGTCCAAGGGCAAGGGTCCACATGCAGCGAGGGCTCTCCTGCCAGCGGGGACTCCCTGCAGAGCATCAGGGGGACCAGTGGGAACCCTCCTGCCAGCGGGGACTCCCTGCAGAGCATCAGGGGGACCAGTGGGAACCCTCCTGCCAGCGGGGACTCCCTGCAGAGCATCAGGCGGACCAGGACATTACATGATGGAGGGAGCTGAGCAGTCTGATGTGCTAGCCCAGATCTCTTATTATCTAGCCCCACTTCCATGATAATCGATTAATCCATGAATTAATTCATTTATGAGAACAGAGGCCTTACGAGCAAATCATCTCTTAAAGTCCCCACCTCTGAACACAGCTACGTAAAAAAATTTTTAAGAGTATCATTTTGGTTTTAATCTATAAATTATTATTCAAAATTTGTGGGTACATGTTAGGTGCGTATATTTATGGAATACATGATATGTTTTGATACGGGCATGCAGTGTAGAATAAGCCCATCATGGAGAATGGGGTATTTATCTTCTAAAGCATTTATCCTTTACATTACAAACAATCCAATTACATTCCTTAAGCTATTTTAAAATGTACAATTAAATTATTACTATAGTCATCCTTTCATGCTATCAAATAGTAGGTCTTATTCATTCTTGCTATATTTTTGTACCCAACAACCATCCCCACCTTCCCTCAATCCCCCAGTACCCTTCCCAGCCTCTAGTGCCATCTTCTGTTCTCTATGTCCATGAGTCCAGTTGATTTGATGTTTAGAGCCCACAAATAAAGGAGAACATGTGATGTTTGTCTTTCTGATCCTGGCTTATTTCAATTAGCATAAGGATCTCCAGTCCCATCTATGCTGTTGCAAATGACTGGATCTCATTCTTTGCAGCTGAATACTACCCCACCACTCTGTCGTGTGTAAGTACCACATTTTCCTTGTGCATTCATCGGTTGATAGGCACTTTGGTAGCTTCCAAATCTTGGCTATTGTGAACGGCGCTGCAACAAACATGAGAGTGCAGGTATTTCTTCAATGTACTGATTTTCTCTCTTTTTTTTTTTTTCTGAGATGGAGTCTTGCTCTTGTCTGTTACCCAGGCTGGAGTGCAGTGGCACCATCTCAGCTCACTGCAACCTCTGCCTCCTGGGTTCAAGCAATTCTCCTGTCTCAGCCTCCCGAGTAGTGCATACCACCACGGCCAGCTTACTTTTGTGTTTTTAATAAAGGTGGGGTTTTGCCATGTTGGCCAGGCTGGTCTTGAACTCCTGACCTCAGGTGATCCACTCACCTCGGCCTCCCAAAGTGCTGAGATTACAGGCATGAGCCACTGTGCCCGGCCTGTATGATAATTTTTTAAAATGTGTATGAAATTTTAAAAAATGATGTGTGTATGAAATTTTTAAAAATGGTGTGTATGAAAATTAAGCATTTAAGTTGTGGTGCTATATGCTTTTTGTTTTGCATGAATTCATTAATATTCATGTTATGTAAAAGAAGTTATTTTTTCTTAAAAAGTAAATCTTTTTCATGGTGTTTGGAGTGGTGGAACCATATACATATTTCAGCAGTCTCACCATATAGTTTTTAAATAATTGCAATATTGAATGGTCATTTAATTATGTAAGACAATTTTTTTCTTGGCATCCATTGAAAACCTGTTCAGCAGATCAATAATGGGTGAAAATTGATGTGTTCTTGCTTTAGATTTACCAATTGTGTTTATAAAATACCTTACAAATACATAATTATAAATATATTCACAAATGTAAAAGTATGCTCAATGTAGTTATTTAAAAAAGGAAATATTCATGTTATTCAATTGTAGGGAAGATTTTCAATAAATGGTGAATATTTTTATACATCATTCTGAAAAGAAATGCTCACAATAATAGAGTATGAAATTATATGTGTATGACGATTACAAAAGCAATATAAATACATCCATGTCATAGAAAAACGCTAAATTCAAGATAGTAGTAACAGGATTTTCTTCAAATGTGTTCCCATTTTCATCTGCAGTTGTTTATTTTAGCTTTTGCTTTCTGTATGTTTATTAATCATATCATCTACTATTTTATCATTTCCTTTTTGGTGCAAATAACTGTTTATTGCTGAGATTAGCATCTTTATATTATTCTATCTATACTTTTATTCTAAATTATGTTTGACTTTAATTGGGTGCAGTAATAATTTGATTTTGCTTTCAATGGGATTTGTATTCCATACTACCTTAAATGGTTGAGAGTTTGTCTTTGAAAATATTTGTTTCATGATTCATATGTCATTTTTTCTACACATTGTGTTCCAATCATTGCTTTTCACTTTGAGCTATTTCTTTAAATGTCACATCTTTTGCTCTAGGGCTGTATTCTATTTCAGTTGATCGAGACTGTGACACAGGTACATTCTTCCCGATGCCATGGTTCTCGGATTATCAGGAATAAAGCATTTGTACGTGTGAGGCTTCCTGTAGAACTTCTCTACTTGCATATTGCAAATAAAAACATGCACTCCTCAGCATGTTCTGCTCAGTTCCCAACTCTTCCTTCCATTACTGAGGGAGGAAAGTCACATGAGAATATCCTAGAAGACAAACTTAACCAGGCTTATTTCCCTCTTATTTTTGTTAAGTTGGATATTCATCATTTTGTTTGCTGAAAGTATATTGAAGAGGTGCCAGTTGGACAGGGTATTTGTGAAGAGGCAGCCTGAGTCATTAGTGAATTCTCCTGATGCCTTTTTGTTCTCTGTGTGCAGCCATTTTGCCTTCAGTCCAGGCTTTGGAAGGAGTGGCAGGTCCAAACGTCATCCTTAACATTTGTAGGCAGGCCACAATATTCACACAAGGATGAATTATTATAAATCTAAATGTTGGAAGGCTGAGGCAGAGGAATCATGTTAGCCTAGGAAGTCGAGGCTGCAGTGAGCCATGACTGAGCCACTCACTCCAGCCTGGGCAACAGACCAAGACCCTGTCCAAAAAAGAAAAGTCTAAATCACTTGAAAATTCCACTTCCACCCCATATTCTGCCTGCATTTTACCCTTCATTTGCACTGATGTTTTCATGCTTCTTTTCCCTTATAATGAGAATATGAAGTAAAATTACAACCACAGATTAAATCACTTTTTTCTGTAATTGCAGTTCTCTTAAAATACTTGAAGTTGACAAATTGATGAAGTTCAGTCTCTTTGGGAAAAGAAAGAGAAAGAGGCTGAGACAGACAAAAATACACAGAGATAGAGACAGAATTAAAACAAAGTAAAAGTTTGGTCAAATATAAGAATACGGTTCTTATTAAAATGCTTCTAAATATTTCATTTTTTGCTGTTTTGAAAACCAAACATATTACTATGATCATTAACAGGAGACAGTGTGTGGGATTCATGTTTCAAATTTTAAAGTATAAAATTATGTGAGTAACTTTGTTTTCCAGAGTTTAAGGCCAGAAACAATAATTTATTTTATGAATTTTCTATAAACATGTTAAAACACTTACATTTTAGTGTAGGGCACTTTTACTCAACTTTTAAACACTTCAATTAAAAGGGAACCAACTTAAACAATATGTGAATCAGTCTCCTTAATGCAAGTTTGCTTATCTGATTCTTTTAATAAAATATTAGTCATTATTTGCATCCCGCAATTCTGTGGAAACAAAGCATCACAAGTCTGAATAATAATTGTTTCTCGTGTTGTAAATAAGCCAATAGAGTGGGATGGTCCATTCTCTGGTTAAAACTTACATATTCTGGGAAAATGCTCATATATTTTTTCATTGTTTTTCATTGTTATCTACATTGTATACATTGCTTTGCCTAGTCACATATATATACACACACACACGTAGACGCACACAAACTATATAATAAATGTGAACTGTAGAAATGGCAGTGTGTATCAAGTGCTATGGAAACATATTATAAAACAGTTAATTCTGCAGAAGGATGAGAAGGATGGTGTTTCAGGACAGCTAGGGAATGCAGACATTTCAGCTGAGCGTTGAAGCACAAGAAGTTTATCAGATGGGCCGGCACATTAGATAGAAATAATGGATACATGAACCTTGATGGCAGGTGGAGTAAAGGACAACCGTTTTTTTTCTAGATGGAACCTAGGGTCTTGGGACTGACAAGAGGAATGTCTGGGGAGAATGAACCCTCACATTCGGCCTTGGCGTGTTTCGCTTCTTTAGAATTCCAGGTGTTTCTCTAGTTCCCATGGTTTGCCCGACAGCATTTCCCAGTATCAGGGTCCTCAAGGCCCCTTTCACATCTTTGTTTCTCAGAGTGTAGATAATGGGGTTTAAAAGGGGGGTGACTATAGTATAGAAAAGAGAAACAAACTTTCCCTGGATGTTGGATCTACTATTGGCCGGTTGAAGGTACATGAATATGATGGTCCCATAGAAAATGACGACCACAACCAGGTGAGAGGAACAGGTCCCAAAGGCCTTTTGGCGCCCCGCAGCTGATTGTATCCTTAACACAGCTTGGGTGATAAAGCCATAGGAGACTAAGATGAGTAACACCGGGACTACTAGAAAGACTACACTGGCCACAAAGAGTTCTGCCTCGTTGAAAGTCGTATCCACACAGGCCAGTTTGATGAGCACTGGCACCTCACAGAAAATATGATCCAGTTTGCGATGACCACAGAGGGGCAGCTGCACAGTGAGGGAGCTCTGAACCAGAGAGGTAATGAGGCCGCTGAGCCACGCTACACTGGCCAGAGACGCACAGAGCCTCGGGTGCATCATGACTGTGTAGTGCAGTGGTCGGCAGACAGCAGCATAGCGGTCATAAGCCATGACGGCCAAGAGGATGCACTCAGACGAGCCCAAGCCCATGGCCACGTAGAGCTGGGCCACACAGCCACCGTAGCTCATGGTTTTGTCTGTCTTATTCATGGTAACCAGCAACTGTGGGGCAACACTGGTGGTAAAGCAGATGTCCACACACGAGAGGTTGCTGAGGAAGAAGCACATCGGAGTGTGGAGTCTGGAGTCCAGACAAGACACTAGTAAGATGGCAGCGTTCCCCAGAAGGCTCAAGATGTAGAAGAACAAAATGATGACAAAGAGAAACCTCTCTAGCTGAGGCTGATCTGAAAATCCCAGGAGAAGAAACCCCTTTTCAGAGCTGTGGTTGGTTTCCTCCATTTTCCTGCAGCTTCAGGACACGTCAGCTTCAAATACTAAGTGATTAATATCTGAGGGAGAGAAAGTAATGAGGTCAAGACTGGTAATCCACAATCGTTTACAGTATGATTCTCTTCCTTATGTATTTCCTAAAACATGTTGTGAAGACCTAGAGAACTTTCCTCAACATACATCCATGGGCTGGAAATGCCACTTCCTTCTATGTTTATTGAATGAAGTTTTACTCAAATGACAAAAGTATTGTATTAACTTTTGTTTTGATATTTGTATTTACTCACTCTTTGCTTATTGTTGTACTTTGCCGATTTTTACACTGATATATTTGTATGTTGAAATGCTGTATTTATGCAGTAAAGCAACTGACCCAATGTCCTTTCTATGCAAATATTTTGTTATATTTATACAAATATATTTATTTTTTGAGATGGAGTCTTGCTCTGTCGCCCGGACTACAGTGCAGTGGCATGATCTCTGCTGACTGCAACCTGTGCTTCCTGGGTTCAAATAATTCTCTTGCCTCAGCCTCAAGAGTAGCTGAGACTACAGGCGTGTGCCACTATGCCCAGCTAATTTTTGTATTTTCTTTTGTTTTTTGAGATGGAATCTCTGTCTCCCAGGCTGGAGTGCAGTGGTACAATCTCTGCTCACTGCAAACTTCACCTCTTGCATTCAACTAATTCTACTGCCTTAGCCTCCCAAGTAGCTGGGATTACAGGTACAGGCCCCACGCCCAGCTAATTTTTGCATTTTTTTTTTTTAAGTAGAGATGCTGTTTCACCATGTTGACCAAGCTGGTCTCGAACTCCTGACCTCAGGTGACCTACCTGCCTCGGCCTCCCAAAGTGCTGGGATTATAGGCATGAGCCACTGTCCATGGCCTCAGTTTTGTATTTTTAGTGAGATGCTGTTTCACCATGTTGGCTAGGGTGCTCTTGAACAACTGACCTCAAGAGATCCACCTGACTCAGCCTCCCAAAGTGCTGGGCTTACAGGCATGAGTCACTGTGCCCAACCTCCATACAAATCTTGACTAATATTCACAAGCTACTATCAAAGTGATATTGTCAAATGCCAAGTCAAAATAAAATGGAGAATTTATAAAATGAAATGTGTGTATGTTACTCTATATGTATAATAGTTGTGTAGGTAAAATTACATCAAAAGCCAAAGCAAAATTAAATTTTTCTTTTTCAATTATACTTTAAGTTCTAGGGTACATGTGCAGAACATGCAGGTTTGTTACATAGGTATACACGTGCCATGGTGGTTTCCTGCAGCCATCAAACCATCATCTACGTTAAGTATTTCTCCTAATGCTATCCCTCCCCTAGTCCCCCAACCCACCGACAGACCCTGGTGTGTGATGTTCTCCTCCCTGTGTCCATGTGTTCTTATTGTTCAACTACCATTTATGAATGAGAACATGTGGTGTTTGCTTTTCTGTTCCTGTGTTAGTTTGCTGAAAATGATGGTTTCCCACCTTCATCCATGTCCAACGCAAAGGATGTGAACTCATCCTTTTCTATGGCTGCATAGTATTTGTGTTGTATATGTGCCACACCTTTCTTTATCCAGTCTATCGTTGGGGTGGGCATTTAGGTTGGTCCCAAAGTCTTTGCTGATTGTGAAGAGTGCCACAGTAAACATATGTTCCATGTTCTTTATAGAATGATTTATAATCCTTTGGGTATATACACCACACTGCCCAAAGTAAATTAAGATTCAATGCTATCCCCATCAAGCTACCATTGACTTTCTTCACAGAACTAGAAAAAACGACTTTAAATTTCATATGGAACCAAAAAAGACCCTGCATAGCTAAGACAATCCCAAGCAAAAAAAGGACAAAGCTGGAGGCATCACGACTAACCTGAACTTAAACTATACTACAAAGGCTACAGTAACAAAACAGCT